TACACATGTCGCCAACAGCAGTTCATAAGAACCGGAGGTGTGAGGATACAACACGTTGATGTATGGGGGAGGGGGGGAAAGGGGGGATTTAAACGATCTGTTATTGGCGTAAAATATCTGCCTGATTGTTCACCTTCAGATATGTGAAATCTGGGACTGTTCTCTTTAAGTCAAATCTGTCTCTCCAATATTGAGGGTATTGATTGAACTATATAGATAAAGTTGATGATGCTCTCCATGATAAGATCCTGTTAGTTTAACTGATATCGATAAAGATGATAGAAATTACAGATTCCATCACCAAACACTCCATCCAGCGTAGCCAAAAAGAAAGAAAACGGATTTATTTTTAAGCATAAACTTTTCTAATTGGTTATTGTCATTACTCCCAGGGTGCAGGTATGCTTGGTATGTATGGTGCAGCGTTACTAAAAGAAGCAGGTTTTACTAAGGTCTTCTGTGTAGACGTAAATCGGTCAAGACTTGGCCGAGTTGCAGAATTTGGGGGCATTCCGGTCCATCCTGAACACGGTGAGCTATATAACTCTTATAATCAATTCTATATTTCAATTTAGAAAATTATAGAATATGTTATTAAAATATCATTACATGAAAAGTTTTTAATTGTAAGGAAAATTGTATGAAAACAATTTTTTTATCTTTTGAAAAAACAATGCAGTAGATATGATTTTTCCATAATTTAGAAGAGTTAGCCATTAAACGTTTTCTTTTAAAAGTTTTCTATGTTTCTTTTAGAGGAGGAACTAGTGGAAGCTGATAGCGTTGATGTCGTCATGGAAGTTTGCGGACACAAAAATGTATGTCGTTGGTAAATTGATTTACTTATTTCTCAGTATCGTATAACCTGAAAATCATATGTGATTTTTACAATTGAATTACAATGTTGTGATAGACATTTACTATATAGTTTATGATTTAATTCGTTAATTAAAGATATTTACGAATCTACTGCTTGCTACTAATCCTTTCGGACATTGAAAGCAAATCAACGTTTTTTTTTCTTTAATCTTTTAATCCACATTTACTGTTTTTCTGACTTCGTATTTTTTGCCGATTGCAGGTCATACCTCAGGGAATAAGGGCTCTAAGGACAGGAGGAACGTACATGTTAGTGGGGCTCGTGCACCCGGACTCCAATCTGGATGTCACCGCTTATTCCATTATCCAAAAGTGTCTTACGATTGTTGGTAGGTATGGGTGTGTGCGGGGTCTGTCTCTGTTTGTCTGTTCGTCCTTCCGTTGTCTGTCTGTTTGTCTCTCTTCCTCACTTCCTCTTTTTTTTGTCTCTGTCTGTCTATCTGTCTCTCTCTGTCAGTCTGCCTGTCTCTCTCTTTCATGTTTATGGTACCGTTTCTGTCTGTCTGTCTATCTGCCTTTATGTCTGTCTGTCTGTCTCTGTCTCTCTCTCTTTCTCTCCTTCTCTCTCTCTCTCTCTCTCTCTCTCTCTCTCTCTCTCTCTCTCTCTCTCTCCTCTCCTCTCTCTCTCTCTCTCTCTCTCTCTCTCTCTCTCCTTCTCTATCTCTTTCATATTTACGCCCTCATACCCAGTATACACGTCTTCCACATATAGCACAGGCGTCTCACTGCCATAACAATCTAACCCCTTTTATCGCAGATATTGCAATCATCTTTAATACTTTTTCACCTCTGCCAGATTTTGTAGTTTCTCTTAAAACTGGCATTGCTCTCTGACATTTGATATCAGAAGATTACTCATGCATTTCTCTTTAATGCATCGTTATAAAAGTTGATAATTAAAGCGTACTGATAAGGTGCCAAAGCGAGTCCCTATATAGTACATTTTTGTAGTAGTATTGTGTAACTATCATATGGGTAAATATTTTCCTGTGATGTGTGTTACGGTTTATTTCTCTGCTATTTTCTTGCAGATTTTTCATTTTTTATGCCTTTTTATTTACTTATCTATTTTTTGCACATTTTTCGTTTTTGTCTTTATTTACTTATCTATCTTTTGCACATTATCGTTTCTTTTATGTCTTTATTTACTTATCTATCTTTTGCACATTATCGTTTCTTTTATGTCTTTATTTACTTATCTATTTATATAATCATTGTTTCTAGTGAGGGACTGCATTTTCAATCCATAGATTTTGCATACTTGGTTTGTACTTTCCTTTATTTTTCCAATACTTGAATACATTAATTGAAGTCTTAATCATATTTTCATTGAATGTTCTGTTTTATTCTGAATATTATTTGTTCTGACATATTTTGTGAAATAAGTTTACCTGAATTTTGCTTATATATGTGATCTTGGCCTATAGGTTTCGAACATCTTAGTTATTCAAAACTATTATTCAAAGACAAGCCTGATTTATTCTTTCTTATCATTCATCACATATATTCCTCACATAAGTTGTCTGATGGTCGCCTAGGTCAGTGATATTCAATGTCTTTCGCAAAGGCCACTTTAACGAGTACATTCACTATGCAAAAACCGGTAGCAGCCGGTGTTCGTTCGAATGGCATCACTAGCTATGGCTTCGTCTTCCTTTTAAGGTCAAATCTTTTCCTTTATATATATATATATATATATATATATATATATATATATATATATATATATATA